ATAAATGTTGAGCATCCACCTGTTCCCAACAATTCAAGTACGCAATGCACGTGTATAGAAATACAAAGTATATTTATTGTGTTTATGACTTTAAATGCATACGTGTGCATAAAGGCTCTTCCTGTGTTAACTGGAGAAAATGAGTTAAAAAACGTTCTGCCATTTAGTACCATTTATTTCGTTATTAGCTTATCAGAGTAGATAAATTAGTCCTTGTCTTGAAATAAATAGATGTTTGGGTTTATAGTGGATGTGTCAACTCAAGAAGAAATTTTTATTCCAGATACAAATTTTTTACTATCATTAGCTCCGCTCTTGTGTCAAATTCCAAATCCGTTGATATATATTTTATTATGTTTACTAAGGTATGAACCACCAGTTAATTGCAAATAAAAATACGTTTAAATATAAATTTGATATTGAATTTTTCTTCGAAGAGACACGAAATCCCCATACTTATATTTTTAATGGATTTAAATCTTTATTCGGACAAAATATTGTGTACAATTTCTGTTTCAATATTGCTGTTTGACAATGGACACATATTTACATACACACTGCGTCGCAAATTTAACGCAGAGCTTAAATATTCCCGAACTTTTGTCTGTGCATATTTTCTCAAGAACTAATCCGATTTGAACGACTTTTTTATACCATCAGCGCGCAATGGTCGGTCACATTTTCGGCACCAAACGTATTTAAACTTTATAATTTAATTCGTTAAATTACCGACCAAGTGTATAAGTGGTTTTCTTCATTTAAATGCTCTAAGATATCTATATCTATATATATTTGGTAACAATTTATTCATATACTATTGAAAACAATACTAACCGACAGAATACCATTCTCATTGTTCTGTCGACTGGTCTTCATTACTTGAGAATCGTAAATATTGGTATTTGGCCGGACCCTGCTGATAAAACTCCAATAAAAATTGTTTGGAAAGATACCGTTAATTAAAGGGCTCGAAATGAACGGCACAAGGTTGCCAACCATATCAAAAAATACTGTAAGCAAATTTCTCTGCATAAGCTACTTGTTAATAATAATTGTTATGCGTTCATGCGATATTCAAATTCACTGTTGGATTTCTCACAAAGTTTACGTGCCTACGTAAAGCGGAGTCTAACTTAATATGTCCAGTTAAAGATGACTTTTAATAAAAATAAATACGTTTTTGAACAGTTTGGCAGCGACCCAGAAATTTTCTATACATCTAAAAATACAAGTGGTTTCAATGGTTCTCCGGTCAGGAATAAAGCTTAAAGAAATAACACGTGTAGGTGTATGCAGACACTATTTGAGAAAATTCGTCTTGAAGAACTTTGTATAATATTTACAGCTATTAAGTCGAAAAGTATTTCTTATTTAATTTTATTTAGTCATAGTTTTGTATATTGTTTTAAATGTTGACTTTTTTCTTATTGCAGTTCGTGGTTTTCTTTACAGCTTTATTTTGTACGGTACCGCGCAATTTACTCAAAAATACATAAAAACTAGTTTCAACTATTGAATGCTTTTCCTCGGGATGACAACCGGTGGGAGGTTGCAGTTGGTTGGAGACGTAAAGTAAAAATGTTCTAAAAATACTAAAAATGTTCTAGTTGCTTTTCACATTTCAACATTACTTCTTACAACACTTCTAACCCTAACGGCAAAATTCACTTTTACTTTAAATGATTTCATGACTTATTTTTGAGAGAAATTCAGCTCAGATAAAAAGTGAGGAAACATTTGCTAATTACAGAAACAAAATGTAAATTTCTTGTTAGACAGTTAACTCTAACTTCCTTAGAGCCGGTAGACCGGTACGCATTGAACAATGTTAGCTGTCGAATCGTCAAATGTTTTAAACTTTTCAGAGTGTATTTTTCAGCAGCTACAAACTAACATTTTAGTACTCCTGAATACAATCCAAATATTCCATAGGTGGGTTTGAGAATCAAATAAAAAAAGGAGATACTTTTCAACTTAACAAATATTTCAAGGCTCTAAAAAATAAGTCCTGGAAACCACTTCTTATAAGTACATTATCATTAATTGTTTTTTTTAATTAATTGAATAAAGTCTCCACTCTGACAACATTGGAAAAAAGTTTCAGCTCTATCGCCTTGTCCAGCAAGGGTAAAAGCAAGAGCAGGCGTGCAGACAAACAGCCATAAGCCATATTATGAGGGCCGCGGATACCGTGCCCAGTTTGTCCCTTGGTTTAATTGCAGAATAATGAATGGTCATTCGTAATAGAGGGCCGCAGGCTCCGTTCCTTCGAGGGCATTTAGCGATTTTCAAAAGGTAACGGGTGAGGGTGACGCGGGAAAATTATTGCTAACAAAATGTGGGTTGATTTATAATCCAATCATATATTATCGTGTCAATAGAAAATAATCCGTAAAACTACAAAAGTTGACAATGAACGCACTCGATTTGCGTAGGTAACGTAAGAAGCTACTCAACAAACATGGTTTCTAAAAAATTTATTTGAGTATTGAATATTTTAATTAAAATTAACTTACATTTAATTAAAGAGTTCAACGTTCTAATTTCCACTTGCATCCACAATATGTTTCGAAAAGTAAAACGATCTGATAGTAATCCCTGTTCTTTGTTGTGAAGTCATCATTTATTTCTGTCAGCATGTGGCTGTAGACTTTAAAGGAAATTAGTTCCCAAAACCTGGTCGATTTATGAGGTTCGCTTTGAAAAACGTATACTTGTTGATGTGTATACACAAGGAAAATACATTAAAATGGCTGTATGAATCGGCAAAGCAATTTCAATGAAATTAAAAAAATTACGAAGTTGGACATGTGAATGTTTACTTGTGTATTGTGCTACCATAACCACAAATGGGTATTTGGTGGGTTTAAATACCGATTTAAAAATCCAGGAAGGATTATTTCCTGTATTGTTTGAACCTTTCAGGAATGTATCAAAACGAGACAAAAACACCTATACTCATTTACTATGTAATTTTGAAAAAATACCCTCTACGTAATAAGATTATAACAACATTAGTATCCACTAGTTTAAATTCCTTCTTGCACACTTATTGACTGATTCCTTGCAATCTTCTTGTCGAGTTTCATACCTAACGAGCCAGCTGCTCTAAATAGTACCTACTATGCGATCGAATTTTATAATGCACTTAATAGGGCTAATTACTTGTTATTGCTAATTTTCGATAATTACAATAATTACATATAACCTGTATTTAAATAACGTAATAATTACCATATAAATTACTGAAGCAAAAATTGATAAATTATAGGATAAGTACATGGTATATCGTTAGCTTTACAATTTTTAAATAATAAGTTGCTTAGGTACTTCGAGTATTTCAAGCCCCCACAGTTTATTTCAATTTGATGCTTTGAAGCCTGAAATACGCATGCAATAATAATTAGGTGTAAGCAGATTGACATATGGCCTAAATTAAATTAGGAAAATCTGTATAGATCCGTTTAAAATGCAATTGAATAATTTACCAAAAGTCCTAAATAAAGAATCAGAAAATCCCTAAGAGGCACCTTTAAAGTCTCGAAGCTCTTAGCAAAAGGAGAAGGCTCATCACAGTCCCCCGGGATAAAGATACGGCAGTGGCGGGAATAACAAAGTTTAGATAAAGGAAGATAAACAGATTAGGATGATTTAGCCACTCTCAAATATGTGACCGACTATATTAAGCAGAAAGTTTACTAACGAAATTTAAAACTTTTTAAAGTTTGCTAAGTTGCCCAGATCCTTTTTAAAATGGCGAAGTTATGAGGCGTGAATTACGAGCCTCAAACTAGTAAGAGAGCCTTGCGATGTTGGTATAATAGGAAAAATTTTTAATACGGCGCTAGTCGGTAGTAAATATGCATGTACAAGTAGGCATTACAATGATTTACTTCCAAGTGAATCTAAGATGCACTATTGGTATTTTACATTAAAAAAATATATTCTATAGAAACCATATGGTGGCAAACGAATGGCAAACACGCTTATATGCTAAGTGAAAGTAGATGAAAAGCCCAAATGTGTTTGTAAATAATCATCGGATTTCCCACAAAAACCCACTCTTACCCTATTTTGGAAATTACTCGTAATAAATATGGAAAGAGTTTTCGAGATGAGATTCATAATTAACGAAGAAAATACAGTTTTTTTTAATTTCCTAAGGTACTTCAAGTATTTTGGTAAAGATATCAACACAGTTGATGGTACCGCGTGTCTAGAAAACATCGGCAAATGTTACAAAAAGCGAAACTGGCAAACCATCAAAAGTTTTCGTTGAATTCTTACTGAAAGAGGTTTATGAATATCCATGGGTAGTTTATAATTTTGCCGGAAAAAAATATTTGCTGCTTTAAATCAATTTCAAAATTACAGTTTCCGGGAACATAGTTTTATTACGATACCACTATTAAGTAGCGATAATGCAAAATAATTAAGTTTAATACAAACTTGAATCGACTATAGACACTAAAAATTGAAAACGCAGTTTTTTTCGATAGTGGCACTTTAAACTGTTTCGCTATTTTTATTTTTACAATTTAGCATAACCTATTTTGTTCGGTTTGGATTTGTTGACTTTCAGTATTCAATTAAGCGTATTATATTAATGCAGTACCATTTTATCAAAATATCGAAACGCTCGCAAGTACCTTTGAGTCTGGCCGTATTAGTTCAATCCAATATCCCGCCTGAAAATACCTTTGTAGGTAGAAGAACAGTAGAACTCACGTCACTTCACATCACTCTAGACGGATATTGTTTCACTACTAGCATTCAACTTCCCAAGGGTGTCTGTAGCCACATGTTTCATGTAAATTTTTCGGTAAAGTGGAAACAAAACGTTTGAAAACAGTAGGACATAAGCGGGGTTCTTTCCCAGAAATGTGGAACGTTTAGGTTTCTCTGGTTTGAATTAGACTAGGGCATTTTATGCCCTAGTCTATGCGACATTCGGATTTTCAATCAGAAAACTGTTCTAATTAACGTAGGCGGTTACTTACATGTTAATTAATTCCACATAATCACTGGCCGCATAAACCAAGCTACCAAACCACAAACCCATAAGTTCAAGCACAAACACACAAAACAAAAATATGATCGATGAACTTATTTATCACTTGGAAGGTAGACCGTACGAATGCTCTTCGAAAAAAAACATCAAGCTGGAGCAAGCAATAAATGGTGTGTTTATTGTTTGTGAATCATCCATCCACTAATTTGAATCATTTGAGACTTTACAGCGCACCACGATAGATGATGTTGGAGGGGATTCCAAATGCACAGGGGCACATTAGCAGGAAGACACGAAAATAACCATTGGGCGGGGTGAGGGACCCACCATCACAAAGGGGGGGGCCAATAAGCGATTGTGAGCTCGTAACTCATCGGATTTTGTTCGTGGTAGTCGTTTGTAGGTAAAAGATACCGTTGCTATTATGGTTTCAAATCAAGGACTTTCTTGGTTTTTACCTGAGCCTCGAACCCAAGCACTATTAGGTAGATACAGCAGTAATTCTAGTGCCTGGTGATGGAAATATGGGCATTCATTCTCTCACTTGTTGCAATTTTGTTTAATGTTGTGGCAAGTTCGTGATTATTATAGGGCTTCTGTTAAGAGCACTTTCGCTACGGAAGAGGATCGACTTTTGGTGCATTAGCATGATGATTGCCCTATTGTTGTCGGCTGAACTTATTTGAAGAATGGGAATTAGAGACCTGATAATATACCTACCTACCTAGGCAATGAATAACATGAGGTTTCAAATATATTATTTTAATTTGAACCCTTGTATGTAGTTGAAAACAACAAGAGCTTTGAAGGAAAATCAGTGATGTGTTTTTGGAAAAAAATAATTGGGCAGAGATTATGTTTTCTATCTCGATTCTCTTTTGATTTTTGATATGGATCAGTGCATATGAATCCACTTTTCCATTCAAAACCCAAATAAACAGACTTAGAATTCTTTGGAAACGCCTTTCATGGTCATTTTTAGTTAATGCTGACAACGTTAATCTATTCAATTAATTCATAGCCATCTGAGTTCGTTCGACTTTTTGAGCAGCAAAAACAAAATTTTAATTTCTTAAAGAAATTGTATTTTGAAATCGTTTTCAACTGATCAGCAAACAATATTCGCCCGATGAAACTGGAACAATATCAATAATAAAAAAGCTTTGAGAGCTCTAAACGTTAGATGGTTTACACTATTGTGGCAACGTGCGGGACTTTATGTATATTTATCAACAATCTTGCTCTTACTCTATCTAGTCCCACTGGCGACTATATAGAAATATAAAGTGAATTTGACAATAAAAAGTGGCTAGAAGTGGACAGTATTTGTCCATACAAAGATGTAGTTTTAGGCTCATTTTTACGATAATCACATTAGGGCTAACATCTGTTAAAATAGCATACCAGCCACATTATGATCTGCACTGATACTATGAACATGCACTATTTATCTTTCAATTTGAAAACAAGCTCGAAAACTATATGAATTTGAAAAGTCATTAGGAATACTAGATTTAATCAGCGTTTTCAATCAGATTCGCGAAACTGAATTATAAAAATGCAGTCTCTTTACTCAAAAAAACGTAATTTTTAAGAAACAAATGTTCAAAGTAACAGTGACTAGTAACTAATAATAAACGTTTTCAAAGTTCTATAGGCGATAGCAACATTTTCCTTTGGTTTTTTGCACCCATCAATCTCAAGCCGATAATTCGTTACTTTTTTAAATTCGCTCTACTAATAGTTTTTACGAGAAATTCTTTAACTACTATAAGATTTTCCAAAGTAATATTTAGCACAATTCAAATATCAGATTCAATTTATTTTCTGAATAGAAAACTGCGAAAATTCGTAATATTCTGGGGGTATCGGAAAACAAGTTGATACTGATTAGCTTCATTTATAAATATTTCATTCAAAATAAAACTTATGTATAAATACCGAAGAGTTTAACAACCAAATAAAATAATTGTCATTTTACCATAAAAATCACGGCTTGCAGAGTTTAATTGATTTTTCCAAAAAAATCATAACCCGAAGACGCTTTTGTGGTTTAGATTTGAGTTCAGCAGATGAATATATACAGGGTTGCTCATTAGTGCGTCAAAGTGCGATATCTCAGTAAATATGAAGTTTACAAGAAAATTCGTCCAACGAAAGTTTTTCACGTTTAAAAGGTCCACATTCTAAAATTACTTTCCAATATACAGGGTGCATCATAAACGTGTGGTAGTTACCAACTCTGGTTTTTTAAATGAAACCCCCCCTTTTTTTTGTTATTTTCAGATTGGCCGTTCAAT